TATATATATATATATCACAAATTATTATTAAAAGGTGTTGTGTATAATATATTAATATAGTTTATTCCCAAAGTTTTTGGAGGTATTATAAAATGCTGTGGTTGAAATAAAGAAGTTGTCCTTTTTTTAAAGAAAAAATTCATAATAATATTACTAAATTTGGTTGGAGCAGTTGCAGTTGTGCATAAAAATAGTATAGAATTGTTGACTAAGATAAATTTGTTAAAAGGTGTTGTGGATATTGTAATTTTTTTATTTGAAATGATCTTTTTTATAGTTATTTTATTTTAATAGATTTGATTGTGAAAGTATTTTTTTTTTTATGATAGATATTTTTAAAAATTCTATTTTTACAACAATTTCACAAATGTTTTTGCAAATAGCTGTTATTTTCTCAAACTACAGAAAAGTTATGATTAGCTTTTCAACTTAGTATGCACATTTTAAAGGTATTTACAATATTCCCCCCAAAAAAAAAGATTTATGCAAATCTGCCCTTATAAATTTGAAGGTTTTGATGATTAAATTTTGGACGCAAAGAATTCTACAGACAAATCAAAATTTATAAAATATGATTAAATTTTTAAAATTGTAACTAAAAATCTTATTAATTTTTCTTATTAAACAAATAATTAATATTTTTTTTGGAAAATTATAATTACTTAAATATTATATCTAATAAATAGTTTAATAAAACAATATTAAAATACCCATATTTTTAACATCATTAAGTCCAATATTCATTAGTTTGGATGTTAGGACCAAAACAATCCCATTTTAAGGAGCTGATGGACCAAAATGGTTCATCAAAATAGTTGGAGACCATTTAGTCTCTCCTAAAGAGTTAATGGACCATTTTGATCCTTTTTTTCGAATCAAATATCAAAGGATCATTGGGTCCTCAAAATTTTTTTTGTTCCAACAAATGCATGACAATATTATAGTTTTTTCCTTCTTAATCAAATCAAAGATTGATGGAGCGTTGATATTTGACGATAGCTCACTTGACGAATAAAATCTTGTATATAATTTTCATCACATTTAACATTGATATTTGATGTAGCCCTTAATTGCATATCTCCCAAGACTCGAAGTGTTATAGGAGATGTCTAATAAGGATTAGGAACTCCTGGGATAGTGGTGGATGAAAGGTTGAAGGGAACTTATTGAGTGGTGGGGGAGATGGTTGGAGAAGGCTTAGATAAGGCCAAACTTGAGAGCCCCCCGTTTGCATTTAAGAGTTTTAGTGAATGGGTTAATGATCGGATCAAAGGGGATGAATATTTTGAACAGATAAATGAATGCTTACACTATCATTCTAAAGAATTTAGAAGAGTTTCATGAAGACTAAGGCCTCGTAAGTGATAAGATTCCAAGATTAGGTGTAGATTTTATCATGCTTGACTAAGAGCACCATGGGCAGATCCCCGCTCAATTCAGATATAAGAGGGATAGTTTTGGAATTCTGCGCACCCCCCCCCCTCCCCCTCCTCAAAAAATAATTTTTTCCCCTAACATGCACGCCCCATCGCACACGTGCATGCCCGTTCGAACAGCATTGGCGAATCGCGTCTTGGATGAGTCCACCAATGGTCAAAGCCTTCAGCGTTGCAAGAAGAAGAGGCCGAAGCCTTTGATTCTTTCCCCCTCTCATGATTACCCTCTCTTTTTCATTTTCCCATTAAAGCTGAAGCTTCGGATCCCCCTTCTCTGTTCTTGAAATGCCTCCTCCCTCTGACTCCAGAGCCTTGCAGCTACCTACAGGACCCCGTCCCCTACCTCCTGCCCTAGCCGAGCCAACCTCTGGGCCTCGCCGAACTCCAGTTCTAACCTCTCACCGCCTCTGCGATCCAAGCCGAACAGAGCCACCTAACCTCTTTCTTTTCTTTCCTCTCAACATGCACGTATACTCCCTCGCTTTTCTCTCCTTCATCCTTTCCTTCCTTCCTTTCTCTCTTCTTCCCTCCTCTATTTTTGTGTATCAGAGTTTTTTTTTTTTTTGAAAAATGAAAACATTAAGATCAAACAACCAACTTGTAAGCTCCACTCATTACAGAAATGGTAAGCCATAACTACATCATAACCAAACAACAATGAAAAGAAAAAAAAATAATTAATTGAAAACAAATTCTTAAAGGCTCAAGACTGTTCGATCAGAGAGAAAAATTAGGGAAATGTTATATATAAAGAACTAACTTCCTACTTTCTCTAGTACATTATTAAAATTTAGGCTATACCAGCATCCATAGTACATTATGTGATAACTTCCTCAAATGCGTGCGGTGTATTTCCTTTGCTTTTTAAGGTATTAAATCATTGTTTTCCTAAATTAGTTTGTTACGTAAAATCTAATAATTTGTCTATAAAATCTTTGAGAAATCAAATAATTTGTCTATAAAATCTCTGTGACGTAATTAATTTTGCCTCCTCAATCTATGCAGTTACTTGTCCAAATCTTTCAATACATTTTGAATTGTTGGCTTTGTATTTTTTTTTTTAATTCACTATTTTTGTATGTTGAAATATTTTTGACAATAGAGAGATAATTTAGCATTTGTATAAAGATCACATAGATATAGATAAAATAAATGAAAAGTAGCTTATTAGATATTATATTTTATGTGGAAATTTGAAATGGGAAAAAATATGGGGCTTGAATATGTTAAAATGGTTCCACCAATATGCATCGTAGATTATATTGTATCGAATAATTTGTAATACCTACGCTCTTATGTTTCTACTCAATATTCAAATTTTAGACATATTTTAGTGTTGTAAGATTTTGTCTGTGCAAGGAAATGCTTATGTTATGTGGGAAAAGTGACTAGTGATATTAAGAATATTGCAAAAGACGTGCTTGGAGTATCAAAGGGAAAAACTTCTAATAGTGAAAATAGTTTGTGGTGAGATCCAAATATGCAAGACAATATAATAAATAAGAAGATTTATTATAAAAATTGGTTTATATACAAATTTTTTGATAATTGTGAAAGATATAAAGATGCACCTAAGGAATATAAGAAAGCAATATGTGATGCAAATATTTTAGCTTTTAATTATTAATATTATAGATTAGATACTAAGGAGGGAGAAATATATATGTATAAGTTAGTCAAACAAAGAGATATGAGCAGTAATGATTTAGTTCAAGTGAAGTGTATTAAGGATGAAGATCAAAAAGTACTTTTTATATAAGATAATATTAAACAAAGGTGAATGAGATATTTTGCTAAACTTTTTAATGAAGAATATGAAAATACGATTTACTTTAGCGACCTTAGCACCCTAAATGAAAATAAAGATTTATATTTTTATCGACATATTAGTAAAATTAAAGTTAGAGAGGCTTTAAAGAAAATGAAGTGTGGAAAACCTATTGAACCTGATGATATTCCAATAGAGGTGTAGAAATACATAGGAGATGAAGAAATTTCTTGGCTTACTAAACTTTTTAATAATATTTTAAAAACTAAAAAGATGTCTGATAAGTGGAGAATGAGGATGCTAAATCCTATATTTAAGAATAAATGTGATGCACAAGATTGTGCGAATTATATAGGAATTAAGTTAATGTGTCATACTTTAAAACTATGGGAGCAAGTTATGGAGCGTAGGTTGTGGCGTGATACTAATGTTTCTCAAAATCAATTTGGATTTATGCCGGGTAGGTCTACTATACATTTATTGAGAGATTTGATGGATAAATATAGAGAAAATAAAGATGATATACATATGATATTTATTGATTTAGAGAAAGCATATGATAAAGTTTCAGGAGAAGTGCTATAGAGAGTTTTTGAAAAGAAATGAGTGAATAATGCCTATATTCAAATTATTAAAGATATTTATGTATGAGCTATTACATGTGCTCAAACACAAGGTGGTTTGACCAAGTATTTTCCTATTTTGGTTGGATTACAACAAGGATCGCCCTTAAGGCCAAACCTTTTTTGCTTTAGTCATGGATGTTCTCATTCGATATTTGCAAGAGGATGTACCTTGGCGTATTCTTTTTGCTGATGATATTCTTCTTGTTGATAAGACTAGAGGGGAGTTGAAGGTAAACTTGAATTATGGAGGTCAACCTTATAGTCTAAATGTTTTCACTTAAGTAGATCTAAAACTGAATATATAAAGTGTAATTTTAGTAGTAATAGACCTATTGAGGGGATTATGACTTTGGGCGACCAAGTCATTAATAAGAGTATACATTTTAGATATTTTGGATCTATTGCTCAGAGTGATGGTGAAATAAATGAGGATATTATCAACATAAGACATAACTCAAGTTAGATGGTTTAAGTGAATGAATGCATCGGGCTTATTGTATGACAGAAAAGTCCCCCTCAAACTTAAGAGAAAATTCTATAAGATGGTGGTGAGACTTGCAATGCTTTATGGTGACGAATGTTGGCCATTAAAAGAGAAGCATAATACTAAGTGTTGTAGAGATGAGGATGCTCAGGTGGGTGAGTGGCTTTACCCTTAGTGATAGGATACGATATGAGCATATACATAAAAATGTTGGAGTAGCTCCAATGAAAGATAAGATTAGAAAGAATCATCTTAGATGGTTTGGTCACATAAAACTGTGACCTCCCAATGACCTAGTTAGGAAAGTAGATGCATTAGATTTGACTTATGTTAATAAATGCAGAGGTAGAATTAAAAAAAATTTGATTAGAAAATATTAAAAATGATCTTTGTTTATTAGATTAAATAAGAATTTGACTTAAAAAAAAAAAATTCATATAGTCGATGATATTGTTGGTGTAATGTTATTTTGAAAATTTTGCCATAAGAACATGAAAATTCCCTATAAATATCAAGCCGCCTTCATTGATTACTAGCACCGCCGTAATGTCGTCGGACGAAGACGAATGGGTGCCCTTTAGCCGCCGGCCGGAGTGGTCGGATGTGAAGCCGGTGCCGCAGGACGACGGGCCCCACCCAGTCGTGCCCATCGCTTACCGCGACGACTTCCGGGAGACGATGGACTACTTCCGGGCAGTTTACCTCTCCGGCGAGCGAAGCCACCGCGCCCTAAATCTCACTGCCGAGGCTGTCAGCATGAATCCCGGCAACTACACCGTTAGTCTATAACTCTTACGAAATTTCAATTCAGAATAGAATCCCTTTTTGTTTAGCGTTTATATTTCGTCTCCTGATTTAGAAAACGCGATTAGTGAGACTTTGTTTGAATTAAATGAAGACAGTGGAAGTGAAATATGAGGTAAATACTTTATGGGTTTGTTGTGAGCCTGCAATCATTAATTTTTATTTCTTTCTTGACTTGGTAGGTCTGGTATTTCAGACGGCTTGTTCTTGAAGCAGTGGATGCTGATTTGAATGATGAAATGGAATACGTCAATTGTGTTGCTTCCAAAAATTCTAAGAACTATCAAATCTGGTAAGTTCCTCATAATAACCTTCGACCTCCTTAAACCATTGAAGCACATTGCAACGAGTTTGGCAAGATCTTACTTTTTTCTTAAGCTTATTTTTTGGCCCAGCAGCAATATTTATGAAATCTTTTTAGCAAAAAGTTTTCTACGCTTATTTATGCCCTATTTTTAGAGATATCTGCTTGTTTATAACAGCGTTGCCAGCTAGTTGTTTTATTGAAGTAATCTGATGATATAAATTTGGGCAGTGGAAATGGACATTGTGTGATCTTTCATGCCTTGATTTATTGGGAAGAGAAGAATGCATCGTAGACAAAGAATCAAGAAGGTAAAATGGAAGAAGGTGATTAAGAGATAAGAGATTAGAAGAATGAATGTCTCAAAGAAAGGTAGGTTGATGCATAATGAAAGAAAGCATGGACAAGCCTTATTGGTACAAGATGGAGGAGGATTGATCGGGAGAATATTAGTGCAAATATCTTTTCTTAATTCATTAATCAATCATACTAAATTAAACTTAAAGCCTACAATTTATTATAGCTACCATAATTTATGATCATTTTAACTCTAATATAACTAATAAAATGACAAATATATCCATATCACAAATGTACATTTTATCCTTTACAAATTGAATGAAAAGTAAGGATGATGAGATAAACATGACACATTAAGTAATTTAATATTGTGCTAGGTTAGAATAATCCATCTTTTGGGAGTTCCATCCTAATGAAGATAGACAAATGGGAAGTTCAGACGATGAAATACTTGATGTAGAAACCTATATGAGGAAATAGAGACAAAGTGAATGATAGCATCATCAATGATAATATTAATTGAAGACCCTTGTCATCGACCATACAGAATATAACCATCCATTTTGGACAAATTTCTAAGAAAGTTTAGAGGTTTACATGCATAGTGATAGATTGATATGATGCCCTTATTTTGTAGAAGTGGTTGGAAGTCCTTTTTTTTTCCATTTGGGCTCATGGTTAAACTAGATTATGCCAAGGTCCTGGTTAGTTAAATTGTGTTAATCCAAATGTGTTTTGTGATGCATGATTTATTAGGGTCTAGGATTTCATAATGCAATTATATAATGCAATGCATAAAAATCACGCACATGAAATCAATTTGATAGTTTGCAAACCATCTAATAAAACACATTATCGCCCCGTTAGATGAAACTAGAAAACATGGCAAAAGTCATCATAAATAATAATTTAATGATCGAATAATGTAAATTATACATTACAGTATATATCACAAAAAATCACATGTCAATAAAAAATGCACCATAATTAGAAAATCAAATTCTTATATGATTTGACCAAATTCAATCACATTAGCAATTAATCACTAAAATTTGAGAAGAAAAATAATAATTTATAGCCCGATATTGCTTTTCCAAAAAATTGTTTGTCATCATTTGCACCACTCTAAAAAGTTCCACATCCAATTAGCCATTAAAGCATAATCATGAAATAAAAATGTCAAACTAAGTATTATTAAAACTACTTTTACATTCTTCAAATCTTCCCATATTTATGATCACAAAAGTCTTGTTCAAATCATAAGGGTACAAATTCAGTAACCTCAATGCAGACGAAGTCCTACATGCTTTGATCTTATATGACATAAACCACAAATTTTCACAGGATCTTGTCAAACTATTCAAAAGTGTACCCCAAGTTTGCTAAAGCAGTTGCATGCATAAGATATACATGTAAGATATCAACATGTAGTATGCTCTAAAGTTGCTTCAATATTTTGTGTATAGACCAAATCAAAAGTATCCAAAATTGCCGCCATTACGCTTGTAGAATGGTTAAATATCCACAATCCTTGTTAGGGAATACCGTAATTATGGGTGAGCCTAAAATATTCAGAGAAATTGTGGACAAAAAATTGCAAGACAAACAATATGAAGGAATTTATTCAAACTCTACTTTTTGTCAAAAGCCACAAATAGTGGAATCAATCTAAATATCCTTCTTCAAAGGAATAGTGACATTCATTTCAACCAAGACCCTAACTATTGATGCCTTGGATAGCTTATTAATAATAGCATTGACTTGAAGCAGTTTGCCAAAAATTCAGCCAAGATAAGACATAGTGGATTGGTCGAAGTAGTGAATCTAAAGTTGAGAAAAATTAACCCAAACTAGAGTAACAAGGCTTTCTTTGAACAATTAGAATAAGTTGATCACTTAACCGTCCATGTTTGGAACCCATCCATGTGATTTGATATCTTAAAGAAGAGTTTCAAATAATCATCTTTTAGGGATAATTCAATAATCATCTTTTAGGAATTAATAAGTACAACTAGGTAATCCCCAATCAATCACAAATTTTCTATTAATGAACGAACAATCTTTATTCTGGGGATCTTGGGAGAACTTGTCAATAAGGAATAAGGATAAAGGAGAAGCTAATTAATATATTTCTAAATAAGAAAAGATGTTCACCTTGAGAAGAGGATATTAATATGTGATGGGTTGATACATAATCTTGTTGAGAATATGTAGAGAATATAGAGGAGATTAGATGAAAACCAGGACCATTATCCCTTTGCAGCCTTAGTTAAAGCACGAAGAGCGTGAATCGATGGAGATCCTATAATGATAAAAATCATGGGCACAGGGCAAAGGGCAAAGGGGAAGCGACACATTATGAGGTTACCTAAAGTTAGTCGACCACGAAATAGGTGGATATGATACCACTGAATGATTTGGAAACCAAAGGAAGTGAGGAGGCATAACACTAGATAAGAAATGTGAAATATAAATTAATAAGAAATGATCAAGTTTTTATCAATAATTACACCAACCTAGGTACTGAGGTTGAAGATGGTATGAATTTGTGAGACCGGTTCTCACAATGAGAACCGGCCCAGTTGGCCCAAGGAGGGCCGGTTTTGGAATACAAAAGGCTGATGTGTTCAAGCCTAGTGGACCCCATTTTGAAGCAAATTAATGAAGGAGAGGGCGGCGGCTAGGGTTGGAGGGAATTTTTGAATTAGGAGTTTTGAATTAATGTATTAAATAGGAATAGACATGTTAGGGTTATGCTTTGTTTTGTGCCTGATTTGGAGTTCTTGTTCTTGTGTCTTGGGCCCTAGATTCGTCTAGGGATTGGAAGAGAACGATCGTCCTCTAGAATTGAGGATCAATTGTATCTTGCTTTATTTCTTCTATTAGTTTGATTTTATTCAATAAAAATCACTATTTTGTTATTCTTTCCATTAGATTTGTGGAGCACTTTTGTTGTTTTTGTCTTTATTTAATAGGATTTGCTTGAGGATTTAGAGGTGATTTTAGAACCCTTGGAGTTGATGGGCGTTTGTCAGAGAGAAGATGGAGCTAAGGAAGTTCTGATCAAATGAAAGAGCCTCTCGGACTACGGCGCCACATGGGAACCATATGAGAGAGTGAAACATCAGTTTCTCTGCTTTCATCTTGAGGACAAGATGATTCTTTGAGAGTGTGGTATTGTTTGTCTGGTTCTCACTGAATCGGCCTAACCGGCCTTAGGAGGGCTAGCTCTAGTATACAGGAGGCGGACATACCACCCCTGTTATGTTGCCTAAGCCTAGTGGACCCCACTAGGAAGCAAATTAAGGAAGAGAGGGGGGTGGCTAGGGTTGGAGGGAATTTTTGAATTAGGAGTTTTGAATTAATGTATTAAATAGGAAGAGATGTTTATGATTAGGGTTATGCTTTGTCTTGTAGCTGATTTGGAGTTCTTGTTCTTGGTGTCTTAGGCCCTAGATTCGTCTAGGGATTGGGAGAGAACGATCCTCCTCTCAAATTGAGGATCAATTGTATCCTGCTTTATTTCTTCCATTAGTTTGATTTTATTCAATAAAAATTACTATTTTGTTGTTCTTTCCATTGGATTTGTGGAGCACTTTGATGTTTTTGTCTTTATTGATAGGATTTACTTGAAATCTTCAAGTGTTTCCTATTAGAATTCAAGCACCAACGCTCAGAGGCAATGATTACTCACAACAAAAGTGGGATTGAGGGAACAACCAATAGCACTACTTGTAAGAGAGCACTGGGCATGAAGTAGCCGAACATGTGACATATACATAAGTAGAAAAGCATCATGTAACAAAACACTAGTGATAGTACTGAGCAAAGCACATGCGTGACCTAGTTTGAATGAGGGAGAGATGATATTAGTTGTTAAGTTATCTTTCAAATTCTGTTGTAATTTGAATTGAAATTTAAATAATTTAAATTTATTAGAAAATTTGAATTTTGAGAAAGTTCTTATTTTGGATTATTTTTATATTTTATTTAATCATATTTTTATTTAAATTAGATGATTGATTTTAATAAAGTTATTTAGATTTGAATTCAAATTAGTTTGGTTTTATCTCATCACCCTATTTTTTAAAAAAGGGGTTGTATAGATGCTATATTGAATTTTTATTGCATGATGAATTTTTGTTGTTGTTGTTGTTGATGAAAAAAATTTAAAATGATATTCTGTGGAGAATATCAACTTCGAATTAAAAATTCTAGCTTATGATTGAATACTATGTAGAGATTAATATACAATATTGAAAAAACATAGTATTCTATAATCAATTGAAAGATAAAATTAGGAATTGAAAAAAAAAAGAAATTCAACATTCTTGGAGATTTCCCCTTAAATAGTGTAAGTTTGGGTTTTTTTCATTATGAAGTATATAGTCTCTATAAAGGCAAACTCTTTTGGTTAATTACATCCCATGAGTGGTGGTCTATTGAGAATACATTTGACTAAAATAGTGCCAAATATTTTCATGATTTTGAACGATGAAGAAGGATGTGATTTTAGAATTACAAAAGGAATTGATTTAATTTTTGATCAATTGTTTTTTTAGAAAGCTACATTAAGGAGGAGCACTGGATTCTATGAAACTTAGAAATGCTCCAAACTATCTTATGTTGAGCTTCAATGTTTTAAAGTTTAAATTTAGTGTTTGAGTTTATCAATGTATTAGAAATTT